CGTTACTTTTTTCATTGCAATTTGCCCTTTTTTAATACCTAAAGTGACTACTTTATTCATTAATTTATTAGCTAACAATATTACATTACCCAATAGATAGATTTTTTAGTCAATAACCAGACTTAAGTTAATAATTAGTTTATCAGTTAACAAATCAGTTTCTAATAAAATATATTCTTTATTATAAAATAAAACAATTTATGTACGTTTTTATTGGTTATGGTGTATTTCATATCTCCCAAAGGTGGATTTCTTATACGACGTTTATGTCTGTAATTTTGCATTTAGCAAAAGAACAAAAGTTGTTGCTCAACTTTTAAATTCTTAATTAAAATTATATGTTAGGTGAAAACTAAATACAAAGGTTATATTCCATTGGTAGGGATAGAATTGTCATTTCACACTTCGTGACAAATATAGATTTTATAAATATAAAAATATTTAAGATTTACATCGTGTCGCATAGGATATATATATATATATATATATATATATATATATATAGTAATTAAATGAGAACCGTAAAAAAATTGAGAACCGTGTGGATTAATCTCGATCATCAAAGGGTTTTAATCAAAGGTCATTAACACATGATGACATTTTAGTAATATTAGCAATCCACCTGCTTAACTACTGTTTTTAACATCGCCTCCCTTCTCCGCCTTGCACAACCATCAAATTCCTCTGTCTCAACTCTCAATCTTTTGCTGAAGGAACATGGGCCACACAATTTATTAATTAAAAAATACCATAAATAAAAAATGAAAAATAATTTGAGTCAAATGCTTTATAAGATAGTATAGATATATAATAATTATCTGTAAACTTAAAATTAAAAGATTTTATATTATATTACTAAATAATATTTTTTAATAAATTGTTTTTATAAAGTGGTATTTGTGGAAAAAAGTGAACCGTTAGGCTGTCCTTTTTATTTGGTCACCAGCTTCCCGTCCTCAACCATTGTTTGATTCCTTCCTGTTCCTGATTATGTCAAATGACAAATATGCCCCTCTCGTTTATCCAAATTAATTAATTCTGTGACCTCCAATATATGGAAATAAATTTCATAATTCACAATTTCACATACATATTTTGTGTGTAAAATTTTATATATTATGTCACTTTCAAATCTCTCCCACATAATACTATAATATATATATATATATATATATATAGGTTGGTTATTATACAACCCTGGTCATTTGTGCAACCAATACAA